AAATTAAGTTTAACTTCAGCATAAATAAAAATTGCTTCTGTTTTTTCTTGCAACGAGGAAGCGCGAACTATTTTGGAACAATATAAAAAGGAAAATTGCAGGCACAACTGATAAATAGTGTTACACTAAAGAGTCCTATTATTTTATAAACTGTCTTAAAACTACACTGGTGCGATTTTTTACAAAACCAAAAAACAAGACAAAAACAAAAAAGTGGGAAAAAAATTAAATTGTGATACAGATTTGCGATAGTTCGTACCTTCAGGGCCGGATTTACCCAACAGGCAACGTAGGTGCCTAGGGCAGCAAAAAAATGTATTAGTTTGAAAAACTCAAATGGTCAATTACTTAGCAAGCGTTAAACGGATTTTAATAATTTAAATAGCATTCGAAATGAATACCTCTCCATTTGAAAGTTGAAACTGCCCTCTTGACACTCCTTAAATAGACACCAATCAATTTGAAAGCAAAAAGTAGTATACTTAATATCCTTGACAGTGGTTTTCGTCCGATGTCGATCCTTTTTTTCGTTCATACCAGTGGGAGGACTTTTATCAATCGCACTGTTTATCCCGGAACCCTGATTATTATTATTATGGAGCTATTTTAGCAGGGGTATATTAAAAATTAATTTACATTTAGACATACAGGACTCCAACTAAAATTTGACGGAGATTATGTAATAAAATAGGCATAAAATAAACTATTTTGTAAGTAATGTGGTACCTACCTACCAAAAAATATGTAAATAAGACTTTCGTACAAATGGTTAGAAGTCTTGGCTATAACTAGAAGTCCATTGTTGTTCATAGTATTTTTTTAAGCAAGAATAAAAAATACATATTTTAAAATGTGTAAATATTTTTCACTGCAAAAATCTTTGGCCTGTAATCTATAATCGGTAAATGGGATTATACCAATGAAATAATATGTAGTTTGTTTAACATTTTTACGGGGTTAATATTTTTCCCTGTCCTCTGTAAAATTATGTATTAGAATTAATTTGTATGTAATAAAATGTGATTATATTTAATATACCTACATAAATAGTAGTACTACTTATACTTATTAATACAATATTTTATATTTATAAAAAAGAAAATTATGAAATATAAAAATAGAATTACTATTTGGAATATTAAATCATGCATAGGTTCTTATCTTTAAGATAAGAAAAAATTTGTTTTGTATACTTTATACCTAGTAGGTTAGAACCTTATATTAGTTTTGTAAATAGCTAAAATATGTTAAATATAGGTATAACCACAAACTATTTTTATACTTATAAAATAACTCAACATGTTCAAGGTATTTAGGCATTTTCCCATTTAACTCGACAATAGAGGTGGCAAGTTTGATTCCGATTCGTTCAAAAAGAACGAATCATTTAAATGAACCGAATCAATCGAACAAAGTTTGTAAAAGAATCAATTCTTTTTTTAATCATTTTTTTTTAAATCACTACTAGTAAACTAAAAAGTGAATCAAACCTTAAAATAAATATAAACTTGGTTACAAGCATTGAATTAAATGCTAGGTTCGGATCACTAGGCTAAAATGTCGGTCTTTTTGAATAACTAGTGATATTTCTAGGGATATTTCAGGTAATTTTTTGTCAAATATCAAAATACTCTTTTGATTCAAAAGTTTCCAATACAACCTAGGTACTTGTATTTTGTTTTTTTATATAAACTGTGCTGTTGTTGCACCGGAAAAGCCATAGGTTAATTTACACGTAAGCAAAATAAAAATCGAATCCAATAATTTAATAATAGAACCGTTGATTTATTTAACGATACAACTAATACAAGTCATTATTACAAACGATTCAAGAACCAAGTCATTAATTCGGTCGAACCTGAATTGTTCGTTAATTATTTGTTCCTGAACCACAGATTATAAAGGTTCTGTCCTGAACCAGAAAGTGAATAAACGAATCATTTTAAAAGAATGGATTAAAAGAATTGATTCACCAAAAAGAATCGAACTTCCCACCTCTAGTCAGTATTGTATTCTCCCTAACATTTATAGGAACAAAATGTGCAACCAAGACAATTAATATCCTACAAAATCAAATTCAACGAAATGAAAGAATCGATAAGCCTTTTGTTTAATTACATAAATATGGGCCGATCCCGGCGGTACTGCAATACCGGGCCAACCCGCGACGGGAGTGGAGCAAGCCCCTAACTCCCGTCAATTTCCAAAAATCAGTTTAATATACTGGCACCGCATGCGGTGCGTATCAGATATTAAGCTGATAAGAACAGATTGATACATTTATTAAAAAAAATATTAAGTTACAGAAATTTACAATAAAGTCTTAGAATAGATAATTTTTCAGTCATAGAGGTACAAGTAGAACATAGATAAATATATAAAAATAATACAATACATGTGTCAAAAATATATAAAATACATAAACAAACAAGCAAATAAAAAAAATAAAGTGTAGAACATAGAAAATACATATAATTCACTTTTTATTATCACATATATCACAGATTGAATATCACGCGTATTGTCGAACCCCAGTTACGTGCTCGACGTAGATGTCCCGGCTCCATTTGATGGTGTCGGACACCACGAGCTTTCGCATGAGGCCCGCGTAGAATCGGTTGACTCGTAGGGTCCTCAGTACCGGCTCGTTCGCTGGGTCCCATGATCCCAGTGCGCCAACCACGAAGGCGTCCAGCGTCACCCGGTATCCTTGACCTCTGAGGACATCTGCGATGCCCTGGTATTTGTCCAATTTGGTCATCCTGGCCAACTCCAGAGCATCGTACGTGTTTTCAAATGGGATGCAGACGTCTACAATGGTCACGGTCTTGGCCTCGTCGTTTTTAAGGACTATGTCCGGGCGCAGGTTGCTGTTGGTGTTAGGAACCTGCGAGTTGACCGTGACGGTGGTGGTGGGATTCCTGGGGATGGCCTGCAGGAGGCGGTCCTGGACGGCGTTGTGCCGCTTCTGCCAGGCTGCTGAGTGGATCCTGCAGTGGTTAAGTACGTGGGGCAGGGTCTCATCGTGGGCCTGGCATCTTCTGCACCTTCGGCAGCCGTCGCCAAAGCGTCGGGTGGCATTCAGGGGGACGCAGCCGAGTCTCGCACGGTGGATGAAGCGCCAGTCGCAGAATCTTGTAGCGAAACCCGATCTCATGAAGTGGTTGCTTGCAGACCATTTGGAGGAGGCTTTAAAGACCTTTCCCTGGTCTGGTTTGGCCGCGAGCTCCCCGCCGTAGGTACGCCTAATGGTGGACTTGACGTACCATTCCAGCCTGGATCGGTTTCTGCTGTCCACCTTGACCACGTCCGGATTTCTTCCCGGCTGCCTTAGGTGGATGGTTGGGCCTTGGTGGAATACCCAGGAGATGCCGTTGCCCCAGGAGGACAGCCTGCGGGTGGAATCACACATCTACACATCTACACTTTGATCTTAGCCATAGGCCGAGAAGCGATAACGAAACTTCATACCACCTCATGTTTTAAGCAAATGTTTTACCCTAGCACAAGCGAGAGAAATCCAACAGTGACGAGCGCCGCCTAAGGACGCCGCGTCAAAACAAGAATTGATGTTTAACGCAGGGTCATCGAAGCGGTATATGGTAAAGAAACCTGGTTTTTCTATAAAGTATATATAAAAATAAATATATGGCAAGATTATTTTCCGATATTTTTTATCTTTCTAAATTCATTTGACTTTATTTTATATTTTTTCCTGTCGAAATGTATTTTCCTATACTTCACTGATTTTCAGTAAAATGGGCTTTTTGAACTTGATATAATATAATATTATTTCTCATATTAAACGAGTAAGTAGGAATACCACCATCTCAAATTAAAAATTTTTTTTGTTTTTTACTTAACAGGGCCCGACTTTCGTCAGGCCAACAAAAAATTGTTTATAGACTAGAGGTGGCAAGTTTGATTCTGATTCGTTCAAAAAGAACGAATCATTTAAATGAACCGAATGAATCGAACAAAGTTTGTAAAAGAATCAATTCTTTTTTGAATCATTGAATCACGACGAGTGAACTAAAAATAAATAAAAATAAATATAAACTTGGTTACAAGCACTGAATTAAATGCTAGGTTCGGATCACTAGGCTAAAATGTCGGTCTTTTTGAATAACTGGTGATATTTCTAGGGATTTTTCAGGGAATTTTTTGTCAAATATCAAAATACTCTTTTGATTCAAAAGTTTCCAATACAACCTAGGTACTTGTATTTTGTTTTTTATGTAAGCTGGGCTGTTATTGCACCGGAAAAGCCATAGTTTAATTTACACGTAAGCAAAATAAAAATCCAATAATTTAATAATACAACCGTTGATTCGTTTAACGATTCAACCAAGTCGAAATTACAAACGATTCAAGAACCAAGTCATTAATTCGGTCGAACCTGAATTGTTCGTTAATTATCTATCTGTACCTGAACCAGAAAGTGAATCAGTCGCGAACGAATCTTTATTTTAAAAGAATGAATTAAAAGAATTGATTCACCAAAAAGAATCAAACTTCCCACCTCTAGTGAAAATTATGGTAAATAATGGACTGGCACAGAAGTTCTGTTATTGTAAACATTTGTTTATATTTTAACACCGGGACAGCGCGTACGCAGTCCCGACTACCAAAAATTATGCGCCCGAGTTATCCGCATTAGGGATAATCGCAGGGGTCAGCCCAACCGTAGTGCAATGGAAAGGCCTCACCCTGGGGGAACCGCCTTATTGATCACGGTAGACCCCTACGCCAGGTAAGTATGCCTTCCAGTCGCCTCGACCAGCCTTTTAAGCTTTTCCTCTGCTGCGACAGCAGTGAGAGATTGGCTGTTGCTATGCGCGACTAGGCAACTCGGATTACAGAGAATGTAGGTAGGCAACTATATGGTATTTATTGTACATTTTTTATTATATGGCATAGGGTTCAATGAGTTATATGTACATTTTAGGTAATTATTGAGTGTAATGTATTTACAATAATAAAGTATTGAATATAATTTTATTTTATTTAATATTCGGCAAAACAATGACATTTTTCCCTTGGACATGTGTCAGTTCTATTTCCGTAAGTTAAGCATTGATCCATACATAAAACATCAGCTTCAAATATACCTTCGTATTCTCCTACTGCTTCACAAGAAGTTCTAAAAACAAAATAATTAAAAAGACCCTTACAAAATACAATAATAACATACGGGCATTCGCAAATGGATGTTGGACAATTTGGTGGATACCTCAGGCAGTTAGTTTGACACCAATCTCTCATGCCAGGTATAATTCTGTATTGATTATGTGGAACACAAACTTGATCCCTTACAACCAAAGGATAAACATTATATGGTGCAGACATTCTACTATCTTTGTAATACAACAAGTATGAATCATCTTCGACGAACAACGGAGGTCTTGCTCCGCCAGTGCTCGATAATATGGCTACATCAGCACAATTCCTAAAGAGAGTGATAAATGATTATTATGTTTTGTTATTTTACTAGCCCCCTTAGAGGCTTCCAAAAATTGCCGTAGCGCACGGTATTTCACGTGCACGTGGCGGGGTATTGGTTAAAGTTTTCAACTAGCAATAATCGCACCTCGGATAGACCTCATTGGTTACGATAATGCCTCTGCGCAAAGCTAACGATAACCCGGCACGCTGCCGCTTATATGGCCCGAAGCTAGGTCGAGAGCGGCGAGATGTATGGTTATGCTGCGACTGCGTACCTGAAAGTTTCGGACTTTCCACAGCCGACTGATTGGGTTCCGTTCTCGCACATCCCCCATTGGTTTCCGGTGTAGTAGGTCCATTGGAGAACGCATTGGGTGCAAGTGAGATACGGGGGCAGTTGGACGTTGTATCTAGAACAAACAAATCTTATTCTTTGTCAAGATTTTATAAAAACAAGTCAATAATATTTTGTTAAAAGGTGTTTTGTACTAGAAACTTTGTAGATCGATAAGAATAAACTAAGTTAAAAAAATGTATTCCATAGAAACAAAAATAAGAGAAAAGAAATTACAGGAACCATGCCTTAAAATGCAAAGCATTGAAATTATAAATGTGAATTAAAATTAATAAAAAAAACTTTTGAAAAAATAAAATATCTATAAGAACCTTTATAAATTGATGTTATATTTGGTATTGTCAAAAAAACCCAAAGAGATTATGCACAAAGGAAATTAACTACTAAATTAAATAAACAACCATGACACAAGATTATACTTTAAATTCTTAGGAACACAAGAAAACATCTCAAAGCTTATCTTGTGTGATGTCAATATATAAATCTAAACTACATTAATATTAATTAAAGCTGTTAAAGTGGCAATAAAACAGACCATTATTCCGATAAATAAAACATAAATTACCTAAAAACAGCCTTCTTCTTTCCATCCTCTGGTATCTCAAAAATAAAGGAATCAGTCCCACTGACATGCAATGGGTATCGATCCAAACAATCCTGGGTTGCCACCTGACCCGGGTTGTTATTGGGGCACAAAAATATTTCGAACCTCCCATAATGATTGGCAGTTAATTCCACTTCAATGTCGATTTCTTGACCGACACTGTAATGTCTGGTTACGATGCCTTTTGCGTAGATACCTGTTGCTTCATGGGGCCTTGGTTCTTTTACGTGGTATGGGTCCCCGCATACCCCACACTTACCCTCGTTTTGCTCCCATTGAACTGCATATCCTCCACAAAATAACTCGTTATCGTTGTAGTTAACAGGGTTTGGAAACCCAAATCTCCACATGGAATTTCTTGCTGGAGGATCCATAAGTCTTCCATGACCTCTTACATTATTTACTATACTTATTAGTAACAATATTATACTATATATTGTATTGTACATATTGGCATAGGAACTTGTATCTAAAATATAAAATATTTTGTTTTAACAGTGTCAGCAAAAACTTCAGTTTTATAAATCTGCAATGAAAAACTATAAAACAAAGGGGTCATGAAATTTGGGACTTTATTTTCTATGGAAAGAGTTTCTATCTATTCTGTGTGATTGAGAATGCCGTGATATGATAATCAGAGTTTGATTGATTTATTGCTTTATACGAGGTGTGTTCAGAAAATATCGGGAATTTTCGTTTTTTGAAACAAATATTTATTTATTCGTCTACATTAATGTTGTCGCCTTCAAAATAGTCCCCATTGGATATTATGCGCATGTGCCAGCTCTTCTTCCAATACTCGAAACACTTCTAAAACTCGATCTTTGGGATAGTTCTTTCAGAGATGCGCTTTTAATATCATCTATGCTTGTAAAACGACGGCCCTTTAAGGTTCTCTTTATTTTTTAGAATAAGAAAAAGTCAGACAGAGTCATGTCTGGCGAATATGGAGGCTGGGGCATCATTACAGTATTGTTTTTGGCTAAAAATTTTGTTCAAAATTTAACAATTTTAGAAAAAATTTTGCTGCCACGCGTTTCATACCCAAAACATTCTAAAAAATTTCATGGGATGAGCCAATCGATATACCAACATCATCAGCGACTTCTCTGATGGTTTATAACCATTTCTTCCACTTTTTCCATGTTTTTATCGGTTGTTAATGTGCTTGTGCGTTCGGGGCGTTCGTCATCTTCAACGTCTTCACGGCCATCTTGGAAACTCTTATACCACTTGTAAACTCTTGTTTTACTTATAGCAGACTCACTATAGGCCTTTGTTAACATTTCACAGAATTTATTTAATTTTTTAAGCAAAATTTGATACAAATGCTTTGATCCGTTTCTTTTAACGAACGAAAAATCGCAGAGTTCATAAAACACGTCTAACCTTAGAGGCTGCCACAGACAAAGTAAACAATGAAAACAGCTAAAGTTTTTATCATACTTCGGGGGCATGTATACCAACATAATAAAGAAAATTTTATGACAACCGGACCCTCCGAACCCGCGAAATTTAACAATTCCCGTTATTTTCTGAACACACCTCGTATAGAGATAATTTTATATTGAATGTTAGGTCGCAAATTTCAATAAAAACGCCCCTGATCTGCAGACATGTATTTTAAAAAGTGGGCAAAAAGTTATATTAAACAAAAAAATGTTTTTCAGATGAAAAAACAGTTGACAAATGACAACTAATTTGATTCAAAATTCTTCTCAAAAAACCCTTTAGATTATAATCTTGGCGAATGAAGTGGTAAATGCAAAATACCTTTTGTTATTGTCAGATGAGGTTTTGAATGACAATCAGTTGGTAGTATTGTAATCTCCACATGCAATAAAAACATTATTTTTAACTCTTTCTAAATAGTTGATTGACTTGTCATTCACTTTCAATTGAAATATTTGGCAATAAAAAGTTTATTAATGAACAAAAAAGTGGTTTAAAATAAAAGACCCAATAAAAGGATTGGTAACTTTTTGGTACCCGACCTTGGCATTTTTCAGTAGGACCGGACAAGATTATTTGGGTGTCTAACAAAACAATTGTATATGTAAATAATTAATCTTTACATGGATCACTGAGATACGTTTAACTTTTAATAACATCGATCTAAAAGGGTATCTAATAAAGTACCGTTATTTATTACCAAAATTTGTGTCGCGCATATTAATGGGAATGCAACAATTTTAGTTTATGCATTGAATATTGAGTATCAAAAACTAGTAACCTATATAAAATATTTTATTTACAGCCAACCTTGACTTGCCTGTACAGTTTTTGCTCGTCTTATTTCCGAATTGGAATTGTAGATAATACCAGCACGCGAAAACCACATTTTAAGTCGAATATATGCAGACGAAAAAAGGAGAATTTCAATACGAAAACAGATTTTCAAATAATTATTTTGCCAAGAAGGGTTAGTAACCTTACCAAGAAAAAAATAATTATATATTCTTATGAATGATATAATAAACTTCAAATCATATTGGATTATAGTCATAATTATATTAAACGCTTTTTAAATAATTCTATCTTTTAATAATATCTTAAAGTTTAACTGTAATAAATTCTCTCGATAAGTACTTAGCTATTATATATTTAATAAGTATAATTTTGTACAAGATTTTTTTGGCAAGTGATAAATTAGTAAACCTGTTAAACAATTTTGATTTATTCATTGATTTTTTTTTAATTTACCAATGTGATTATCACAAGGTTTGTAGAAGCAAGGGCGCCATTTCAAATTCGAAAATTCAAAAACGTGATGAAAATTTAAAAAGCCCTGAAAAGGTTATCTAAGTATTTAAGTATTTAATTTGTTTAGACAAATATAGCGGTACTGTACAAAAACACGCTAAAGTGGATATTAATGCGGATTTATTTATATAATTTTCCATTCAATAAATTTAATAATTATTATAAGAAATAAAATAAAGTTTTTTCATATTTTATGCTTTGTATTCAGTTTCAAAATTAGGCTTTTGGTATCTTAAATTGATGTAAATTTAAAAATAATTCTACCCCTTTTAGACATATGCATCCGCATCTGCAGATGTTGACTTTGTTCGCATCTGCAGATGTCACAAAAAATAAAATTCCTAACATTCCTGCTCTCTAAAAATGAATTAGTTCAAAATGACTTGTTTTTAAAGTAAAAAAGCAGTCACTAATAACTGTACTCCACATCAATTTGTATCCCGGACATTTAACAGCCAATTCTTGTGTAAAATTGTCCCCTAAATCCAAAAAAAAACGTCAAAACTTATGAAAGTAGAGCAGTTTTTGAGATATAGTTAATTTTCCATATAATATGAAATGGACAATATCTCAAAAACTGTTATACTTTTATATCTTTTGACGACATTTTTGATTCAGCGGACAATTTTAAAATTAGTGGTGGCTGCATTTTTGGTATAATTAGTCATTTTTGACCAATTCATTTTTAGAGAGTGTTCTGCATTCAGACTGATTTTCGACAAAAAAAGTTTGTTATTTTTTAAATACACATTGACAAGCTGGGACTTTATGGCGTTTTAGTCACGGTCTGAAGTTAGCATACAATTCTAAAATGTGGAATAGTATATTCTGTAACAAGTTTGGAATTCAGCATATTCCGCTCGAGTGAAGAGTTTGTCACACGAGCCGAAGGCGAGTTTGACGGTTTCACGAGAGCGGAATATGCAATTCCAAACGTGTTTCAGACTATATTTTTTCTACGTTTCCAAAAAATACCATAGAAAAATTATTTAATTGGAATAAAGTGAGGTTGGATCGGTCTAAAATTTGTTAGATATTAAAAACAGAGATGTCGCCACGAGTGTTCATTCTATCATCAGATGATAGAATATTTCATTCTGTAACACTTTACGGAATATATGTCATTCCATAGATAAAAGTGATATTAGAAGGGTCAAATTCCGTAATAGGAGTAGAAAAATTATTTTATTATCTCAATACAAAATTATTAAATACTTTCTTGACGCCAATCTATAAAAATTTTAAATGCCTTTTGATTTCGCCGGCAGCAATCTAGTATTAGCCAATAAAGCATTAATAATTTCTCGTGAATAACCTATCCTTTCACTGTGAAAAACTGTTTCTATATTGTATTTAAACGGTTTTTAGTGCATTTCCAAGAAATAATTTCGACTTTTACAGGAAAATTAAACAAACTGACACTGATATCTTAAAAGCCGGTAAAACAGATTCCTAAAAGAAATGTTGGCTACTTCGTTTTTGTATAGATATCGCGTTATACAATTATATAAATTAATTAGTGATAAATTATTTGTTTTAATAACAATAATAGTTATTCATGAACTTTTCTATATCCTCATTTTTATTAAAGGCTCGCCCGCAAGCTTCGCTTGCATTTAACTAAAATTAGTGACTAAAATTGTATTTCTCAAACTTGATACCTAATATACTATTAACTGCTCTAAATTAGGAAAACCTTGTTTGTACATGTAAAAACATTGGAAAAAATCTACAAATTTGGGAATATCCGCAATATTTATATCACCCAAGAGTGATTAACTTGTCCTATTATAAATGCCAAAAATAATATTTTTTTAACCAATTTAAAAAAAATATATTTAGTTAATGCAAAACAAAATTTTTAAAAAACATTTTAAATGTGTACGGTTTACTAACAAAATTTAAAAATTACCTTGTATTTGTATGTTTTTGTATCCATTGAAAGTTACTTATAAGTAAATATAATACAGCAGATATGCTATACTTTAAAATATTGTTTAATATTTTAAATATTAACATTTGCGACAGTACAACCTTTTACAGTTAAGCTTTGAAAGCTTTTAAAATTTTGTTTTGTTTTCAAAATTTCGTTTTGAGGTTAAATTTTTAAGTTAGAAAATGTTCTTTGGGATGGATTTAATCGGTCTTAAAAAAGTATATATAATATATTCGGTTTACGTATTGTATAGTAAGAGCAAAGATGGTGATAGCTATGGCTCATTACAAACTTCTTATACTTTGTCAAAAACTTAAAAAAGCGCGTTTAAAATGTTATAGCAATTAGCAAAAACTTGTATCAAAAATTTGCTCCAAAATCCTGATTTACAGATTTAAAGTGAATTGTTTTAAAAGTGCGTAAATTCCGATCAATCCTTTATTTTAATAAAAAAAAGTTGTCGTCTTTGTAATATTAATGCGTTTTTAAGTACTTTTATGTGTTTTGGAATCCTTGATAATAAGAATCGTGACCAGATTAACTTTTGAATATGTATTGATTTTTGGGAATGGGTTTGAAAAATTACTTAAAAAATCATTAAAATTCCATTAGATTACATTTTTAATTCGTAATTAATCAAGAATTGAATTATGGTAACATATCAAAAATTTTCCAGAAGTTCGAATTAAGAAAAATAGAGATTGTCTTTTAACGTTTTTAATTCTTGTAATATACAGTGTTAACTCAACATAAATTAAATAAGAGACTTCATTAAGTTTGTCAGA